TTGTACACTTTTATGTACATTAACTTTAACACTCATCTCACAAAAGTGTGTAGAGCCCATGATTTTTTAAATTGCGGGCCCCCACGTTTATGAGAGGAATGTCGTCATGATGTACACTCTTTTTGAGTGACTACACTCTTTTTGAGTGACTATCAAAACATCAGTAAAAGCTGAAAAATTAACAGTAAACAAGGGAGTCTAAAAAAATAAAAAAGCTTGGAATAATGAGTTCAAAATTATTTCAAAATCTCAATTTCATTCAAAATAGTAGCCAACATGAAGCTTTCATGCCATATAGTTTAACCACGTCGAATCTATAACTAGTCCATCCTAAATATTTGTCTATCCCCCACAGTATTTATTAATGTTCACAAACAGACACAGATGAAAAATGATTCTCTTGCAGTCAATCGTGATATTTCAAAAGAATAATGTTATCTAACATCAATGATGCTAGAACACCAGCTTAGGTGATCGCATTTGATAGATTCAATTAAATGAATCATGTGACATTGCATTTATGTGAATCTATCTTCTAATGTCATGTGTTTGCCACCTAGACTGGTTTTTGACACCAGTGATACTAAATAACATTACACGTATCAAAATAGTCTTCACTTCAACCTTCAATTCAAGGATCACTACATGGATAATAGAATAAAAAATGTACAGTTTTATGCTTGTGTAATTGATAAAAGGAAAATCTGCAGCCTACAGTTAACTCTCAATTCCTAGTGAACAAAAGTTTCGCCAGTTAATAAACAATAACTATAAATTACTGTTAGCTAAATTCTCACCTCGGGGATGGGGCCACAACACTACAGGGTAGCAGGAATGATATAAATTTAGACGAAGGGAAGTATTTAGTAGAAGCTTATAGGATACACGGATCTTCATGTTGCATCTATCTATAGATAGTTAGGCCTTCACGTCCTGGCCAGAAGCCTGTTTTTCATCCTTCTCAGCACTACCTTCTTCATCTTCTTCATCATCTTGTCCGTCAGCCAGTCTTGTAAGCTCATCTTGAATCATGAGCTTTATTGATGATTTTCTCGGTGTCAGGTCTGCACTGTATCGCTTGGCTGAAATGGTAAGAGGTTTTCATCATGCAAAATAAGACATGAAATTGAATGTCAACTATAGATTGAATTTATTATACAAAACTCAAAAGGCTTCAAATGGCATCTTCTATTTCCCCAGAAATACAAAAAAATTGAAATAGCATGTGAATCCCCCAAGAATTTCTCAGGGCTCTTATGATAAACCTTTCAGGGAATTAAATTCACAAACATATCAAATCAGGAATATTATTTCAAGAGGTGACATCAACCAATCTGACAATTACTTTCTGCACCAATCTCCATTCCAATACCAAAGAAGAAGAGAACGACTCAAAAGAAGGGTAAAAAGGGAGGGGTGGGGTTGGGGATTGAAAGAATTCTTAGTAATTGTTATGTTTTGGCTCATGTTCATAAAACACTCAAACCAATTTTTATCCACACATTTCGTTGGACCTAAAAGTACTACCCACTTATCCACCGCTTATTTCTATCTACTTATAATTTAAACAATTTGTAACACTCACAAACATGCTTTATAGTTATTGAGAAAAATAAAGAAATGCCAAAAGCTGCAGTATATATTTAAAATATTGTCCAACAATGGAAGAATGATATATATAATTGTAATTGTATGGAAAAATCAAAAGACGCTAATGTATGTCAAAATTCAAGTGAAATTAATATGTATCCTTTTCATAGTATTATTATCAAACCAATTGCACCTCTAGAGTGGCTGGTTCACTAGGTTTTGCTAATAATTCTGGTTCAAGACTATGAAGAAACTTTCATGGAAACTTACCAAGTATCTTCAGAATGTCAGTGAAGGTAGCCTGAGAAATTCAAAGCAGATGTATCAGGGTGAGATATAACAAAATGTTAAAGACACCATAACTGCCAACAGAAGAAAGGATAACAAATAACTGATGAGATACAAAGAAGTTGATCATAGATTTCACCACTTTAAACTCTATATTAATGGAAAACCTCACATTAGGCAACAAACAATTAACGAGACTCAAGATTACAAGTCCAGATCTCTTTTTTACAACTAATAAGCAATCACATTAAAGAAAAGCATTTTTGCTTAGTAGGAATAAACATGCACCTTCTGTTCCCACACATAAATAGAAAAGCGAGAAGCGTGTATTTAAATCAAAACCTATTTGGACAAAAAGCCAGAGAACTTGTGAAACATACTGTATTGAAGTCAACATCTTTAAGGATTTCACAAATGGCATTTTTGAGTTCATCATTGCTCGGCTTTGATTTGTCTTCCTTGGGCTTGTCTTTCCGCACAATCTTCTTCCCTTCATTTGAAAAGAAACAAAACAAGAAAGGTTCTTAAACAAAGTCATAGCTCAACGCTACGAAATTAGCTTGGAAAACTTAATAAGGGATTGTGTACTGGATTTTATTGCAAATGATAAATAACCATATACCAACTCTACATTTTCTTTGAAACAGAATCATCAAATGGGAATAATTCACTATTCTCACCAGAACTCTCCTTTGATGATTTGTTCTTCGGAAGAGCTTTCTCCTTTACTGCTTCATCTTTCTTCTTACCAGAAGACTTCTTTGCACTCGTATCATTATTGTACTTAGAGTGACTTGATGATTTTGCAGGTGGTTTTCTAGGAGGACTGGCCTTTTTAGAGGTTGTTACATTCTTGGTCCTGGTTTTTCCAGCAGATCCTTTCTTTGCTGAAGGTGGCTTCTGCTTTTCTTTCTCTTCACCACGCTCGTCCTCAGATTCACTAGGGTTCTCCTGACTTTTAGCTTGATCAGACATCTCATCATCTGATCTTTCGGGATTACCATTAACATTTTCCTCTTCGTGTGCTTCCTCTTTCTCATCTTCTGCTTCTCCAGAATCATCTTCTGATTCAGGCACACTATTTTTCTCCCCAGGTTTTTTAGATGCACTCTCAGTTCTCTTTTGATTCTGAAAAAAAACACCAGTGACAAAGATTGCCACCAGAGAAGACGGTTAACAATTTCATGTGTATGAATCACCCATCATCTTCTATAATTTTCAGTATTTTAATTTCTTATCTCCAATCAAATTTCAGCAGCTGATCATCCACTATGAAGGAAGCAAGCTCAGCTGCAAGCACGCATTTTCCCTTCGGTTTCTTTTATATATATTGACAAAACCTTAACTGAGCAAATCTTGAAGTTGAACCAAGGCAACAGTGACAGATTCTTATTAAAAAAAGGGGAGATAAGTTTCATCTCAATACATATAATATATTATCGATAACATCATCCTTTAATTTGTACCAGAAACTAATAAGGCGGGATAAAGAAAAAAAAAATGTAACTTTTGGCTTCATCTCTTGCCTTCTACTTTTATTTTCAATTTTTCCTTTTTTCTGGGTAAAGAGAAGGCTCAGAACCCAGTGAAGACATTAGTTCTCTATTTGTAAGAATGTATAAGAAAAAAATTCAGATACTGCATTCCTGGATCACTTAGGCCAGTATAACATGTAGAGCATTATTTGAGCCTATGGTCACAAAGAAGAAGAAACTGCCAAGTTGAATGTTAATGATAAAGTTCATTAGAACTACAGTACATACTCCATTTATTCCAAGTTGAATGTCTTGGATTGACTTTTATGCTCGACCAGACATTCTTATCGCGATTTCTTATTAATTTATTTTACACAATTAATAGCACAATAAATTGAATAGAACTAAATGGTACACAATCCCTGTACTCCAAGTTGAATGTCCTGAATTGACTTTTGAGCTACCCAATTACTTTTTGTCCACTATTTCTGATTAATTTATTTAGTTCTAGACAAATTCGACGGAAATTGCATGTTATAATATATAAATTCCAACTTCGCATCACAACCCAAGCAGTGTGATAGACTACAATTAATCACATGGACATGGAAAATAGAAAAGGACCTACGTGAAACTAGAACTGATTTTTTTTTTAATGATTGAACTGACAACAGCTGCAATACAAACCTGCCGACAAAGTATGCATAGAGATTCAATGCCTTATTCGAGGTATTAACTTCAGCTTCTATTCTAGAAAAATGTGTTTAAAATCAATGAGGGTGATACCTTGGCTGATCCTTTTGAAGGTGTACTGCTCCCAGATGTTGATTTGACAACCCTCTTTCTTTTTTGCCCGTTACTTGACTGTCCAATACACACGATATATGAATAAAATAAAAAGGCATGTAAGTTTCTCATCATAGATAAATTAGATAGAGCGATAAGGTTGAACCCTAGTGTAAAACCTGTTCTTTTTCAGCAAGCAACTCATTGGTTGTTGCACGAGGAGCCAGCAAAAAGTCTATCAGCTTTGCAATAATATCTTCCTGAAAGCACCATAAATGGAAAATTGAAATCCTTGAGACTAAGCACTTCAGGACAGATGCAAGATGTCATTCATAATCTTAGTGGCAGGGTTCGCCAAGGCAACCATGATGATTTATATAGAACGTAAAATGCACATCACAAAACAAGAATATTCTTAGATCAAGAAATGTGCAATAAGTAGATATTCAACCTTTCCTTGTAAAAGGCATAGCAAGCAATATGTTGAGTGGTAATGGAGAATTTTCTAGCAAACTCTGAAGTAAAGAAATATCAACGAACCTTTCTTGTATTAGCCTTGGAAATCGGTATATCAAGAACATCACAGAATTCCATTAGTTTCTCTTTGACAAACTTGTCAAGTTTTTCTTTCAATTTCATCATTTGCTTTTCCTGAGACCATGTGTATTTTAGATAGTGAGAGTTATAAATTATTCTGGAAGATTCAACAAATAGAACATGCACAGCAATCATCAACTTAATATTGACTTTCATCTACACCTCATTATCATGCCACACGAACCCCGAGAACCTTGATATGTTGTTCTTGATTTGAACTGCCTGCATACATTAATAGAAGTATAAGCACAAATGAAAAAACTGAAGTTTTTCAACAAATGAGTAAAACCTGGAGCCAAGTACAGCAACAATTTTCATGGCTACAAGAGAAAAACATAAAATGAACAGCAAATTTTGAGAAATATTCTAAGGAAAACTTGAAGGAAAAAGTGACAGATCAATGACAATTTAATTAACAGCAGGAAAGTACAGTATCAGGCAAGCTCAGAGCTACAAAACTCACTTGGATATTGACATCACCCAAAAACGATAATAATAACTAAAAACACAAATGGTTCAAGAATTCAACATCTGTTAGCTCTGTGTAAGCGACGCTAAAAATATGTTAAAAATAATACCATGGAGTTCAGAATACGGTCTTACGAAAAAAATAAATTTCGTGAAAATAAATTTCAAAGCTTCAATACACAAAAAGTTCAAGATGAATTATATTAGGTACACAAATAGAGCCAGCTATTATCCCAAGAGGATCCAAGCATTCAATAAACATTAAACTTAATATAATGCCTGATCCTCCTTGAGAGAAATAAGGAAGTAGGGAAAGCAAAACACAATAGACAAGAACTCAAAGTGCTATACCTTTCCTCTCCTTCCAAAGAGAACTGTATGCAGCAATTTGAAAGTTTCCTCGGTCTTCTTTCTTGACAACTTGTATGCCACTGCAACAAAGATTTGGTTCATATATTGACATTTCAATATATCCCTAAAGCTGCATACTTGAACATCTATGTAAGCAGATAAATGAAAATGAGATTCTTTTTAGAATTCCCCGTGAAGTTGCGCACATACGTTATGAATGAAATTGCAATACATGAATACGACATAACAAACTCAGTAATTAAATTGTGATAGCAAAATGATTAGGAGAGACCTGTATTTAATACATAATAAATAAGGAGCAACTGCACAAACTGCCACCCACGTTCTCACTAATATGCTCACAAGCTTGTAAATCCATAACTAGCCTAGAATTGTAAAATTAGCAAGTAAATTATCCAATTTCATTTTAGCTTTTGTGAAGATATTTATATATTAGATGAAGCCTAGCATTATATCCCTGTCCAAGGGAAAGAACGAAAACTGGTAAAATCTCTTTTAGTTTGGCTTGAAACAGCTGATTTATTGTGAAAGATGAAAAGTAATTCGCCTTAAATCAAATGCCAATTCAAGCCTATCAGCTTCTATACATGTATCTGACAACTAATGAAACTCAATATTTGTCCAAATTTTATCAGTATAAATATTCATGAATTCTGGTCAGTGCCTCTTGTTGACTTTGCTTACCACCTCCGCCAAACTTAAAAATCCAGGATGTGTGGGGAGTAGCCAAAGCTAAAAGAAGAAATCTCAAATGGTCTAAGACAAATATGTTCTCCAATGTCATTTCTAATATTTTACTCGTTCACTTCTTTCAGTAAACTTGGATGAAGACTGTTCCAACATTAAAAACAAATAGCGATGTACACTCACCTCAGAAGTCAAATAAAATCTAGCAACCAAGGATCAACATTGATCAGGACTTACCAATATTATGGACAGAGAAAATCTATGATCATTCATGGCAAATCAACCTAGTATGAGGTAAGACCATATGAATTTGAGAGAAAATGAAATAAAATGGAAGCAACAGAGGAACTGCCTTCCCACAAAGATTTTAAAGAGTTGGTGAATTTCAGTTAAATAAGGCTTTCACGCTAATCGATGAAACGCCATATTACATAACACCTAACTTTCCTCTGCAGCACAGATATCATAAAGTTGGTAGATCACTGATCAAGTGAGATAAATGTGCATGGAGAAAGAGAAGGGATTGGTAATAAATCACTCCAACCAGACACGCGTCATGCATTAAAGAATACTCCAGAAAACCATGAAATCCCACACCACACAAGGAATGGAAGGATACAATAAATTCAACATGACCAATTGAGATTCATTCAACGTCCTTCTACTGGAGAAAGTTATTTATCCATAATAACACAAGCAACTCCATCACATGATTAAACAGGAATTCAAGGAAAAATAGATGATGTCAATAGTGAAGTAACGTCATTGTGCTTTCTCAAGATACCTGCAATGATAACCTTATAGCTCTTGTATATTTTTATTTTCCCCAGAAACGATCAAGTATAGTGCCAAACTTCACTAATCACGAAGGACGACTAAGAGAGTTTCTGAGTATTGAGATAAAGCATCACACAATCTTATCAAACATCCCAAGCTGAAATTCGCAATAAAAAAGGCCTAAAGTAGATGTGCTATGTGCATAAAGTGGAGTTCGGTCAAAATGAGTACCATTAGGGATATCTTTCAACGCAGTTCCACGACCCTGCAAACAAATACTATTATGTCAAAGTAAATCTCCTTTTAAAAGGTATTTAACTCACACTACGCTGTAAAACTTAACTCCTCTAAAGATTGAAACAACAAAATGGAAATTAAAAGGTCACACCTTTTCAATTTGGAATTCCTTAGAATCATCCTTCTCAATAATTGCAACCAGCCTTTCTACAGATTTCCTTTCACGCACAGGACGTTCAATTGTGGAACCCACTGGAGTTTTTGACTCCCCCTTTTTCTCTGTTGGAGTTTTAGGCTCCTTAAACTTTTTTCCTGTTGGGGTTTTTCGGTCCTCCTCTTCAGCTTCCTTTTTCTTACCTTTGCCATTTTTTCCAGCACTACTCTTTGTTCGTGGGCGCTTCTTTGAACTTTTCTCCTCCGTATGCTCTTCTGCCTTATTCTCCTTATCCTCCTTATCCTCTGTACACTCTTCTACCTTATCCTGAGTCTCATCCTTGCCCTCTCTATGCTCGCCTGCCTTATCCTCAATCTCCTCCTTACCCTCAGTCTGCTCTTCTGCCTTATCCTCAGTCTCCTCCATATCCTCTGAATTCTCTTCAGCATTATCCTCAGTCTCCTCTTTCATTCCATCAACCTCCCCTTCAGATTTATTCTCAATCTCCTCCTTGGGTTTCTCCCCAGAATCATCTTCAGTTTCCTGACTATTGTTTTCTTCCTTTTGTCCAATGGTTTCTTCCCTTTCTTCTTTGCCCTCTTCTACTACCTTATTATCCTCCATGTTTGAATCAGCTTCCTTGCCTTCTTTGACCTCTTCTTTATCCACATCCATATCATGTTCAAGTCTTGTTTCTTGATCGTTCGCCTCTGTCACAGCCTCCATCTTTTTCTCCATCACCTCTAACTCGGCATTCCCATTTGATACTGACTCAGGTTTCTCAAGCACCATATCTCCCACACCCATAACAGCTAAACTCAAAGTTTTCAGAAGTTCAACAACTTTCGTTGCTGACCCAAACAACTGCTAAAAGTATTCTACGAGAACTCTTCCATCAGAGAAATCAATCCAGTACATAAAAGGTTAAAAACAATGAATGTAAAAGAAACAAGTGTTAGAAGCATTGCCAGAAAAAAATTCAAACAAACAGTGGATGCATCTCCGGAAATTAATAATATCAGAAAAAAAACTCAACACGCAGCTGAAAAAAAAAACTATTTGCAAATGTTTGCATGCAAACACAGTGCACATGAATAAATAAAATATATGCTTCCACATAAGGAAATCTAAGCGTCCTAACAAGTTCTACGGTATCAAATCACGTTTCAATTTCTCAAAAGACTCGCCGACTTCAAGCAGAAGCGGAAGGGAAAATTCACAAATTAAGCAGCAAAGTTATCAATGAAGCGCAATTCTCCAAAACTTCTACAAAACCCTAGCCTGAAAAGATCTATTTTATTCTAAAAATCACACAAAGAACAATTAAACGCCCAATTAAAGCTTCACATATTGAAAATTCAAACACAAATTGAAGCAAGAAACAAGAAACTTACTAAGATTTGAGAGCAAAATTTCGCGATCCTTAAGCTCTTTCGGAGCTCACTGTCTCACTGATGTAATATTTTCTCTGTATTTCCTGTTGACGATTTTCGGGTGTGGATTTTATACTGCGGACTTCAAATCCAGATTTTAAATCCAGTTAAATGCCATGATGTCGAATGGGAGAGCCAGACCCGCCAGGTGGAATTCTAATATAGGAGCTGATTGGACGGCTCAGATCGAAAAGGCATCTTAAGTGGACGATTGGGATTGTGTACTACTTTGAATGTACTTCTGTCTGTAGACGGGTTCTGTTGTTACCGTTGCCTGAAATAGTTTGGAAAATAAAAAGTCACATTTACCCACGACTGCGCAATTTGTACACCCATTCTTCCCATCCTTGTTGAGTTGTTGACCGGTCTGTGTATCAAAAATTTGAATGCTATTAAAATCAATGTATAGAATTCTACAACTCAAATGACTGTTAAACTAAGTGTAAGGCAACATATACATGTAGCATAACTCATTGTAATGAGCATGTTTGGAAGAAAATTTCATCCAAATTTTAATTATTTATTTGATTGTTGCCGATGCAGAATGGCCCATGACTGTCATCTTTGTTAATTGTCATCTCAGAAAATTCTCACATTGGGACCCATTTGGACTTTTGCAACGATAAAAAAATTACTTTTAATCTTGTAGAAATTTTTGACAGATATAGACTATAATAAAAAATAGGACTTTGCTAAGCGTACACCATGATGTCAACTCGGTGTACAAATAACAAAATTTTAAGAAGAAACATCATAAATACCGTGTCTTCATCTCTTTTATCCATCATTTTGTAACAAAAAATTATATTAGATAAGTTGCTAACATTAGGCTTGTCATTAATTGTATCTCATAAATAAAGCTAAATCAAAAATCAAATGGTGTTTGAAGGTAGCAACACTAGGGGAGGGATAATGGATTTCATTCATCTGCGACATAGAGATACATCAAGTCCCCTTCTGCTTCAGTATTCTGTATCGTTCTTATGAACAGATTCA